ACGTCTTCTTTCCCCTCTTTCCTCCTCGCCCACCTCGCCAAAAAATTCCCTAGAGGCCGCCCAGGGGGCCTTCGAGACCCCCAAGACGTCTCAACATGCTCTTCACAAGTTCCTCAGAGACCGTCGGGAAGCCACTCGAATATCGACTCCCCCATCCCTCCCCCTCCTTTTCCACCTTCGCCTTCCACCACCTCCTCTCCCTCTTATCCTCCTCCTGCTTCTCCTCCTTCTCTTCCTCCTCCTTCCGCAGGGGAGGATCAACCAATGCGTGTTTGTTCGGATATTCCACGCAAGTGGGGGGTTATCTGGAAGGGTACCGAAAACTCATTGCCAAGGCTACACAGTTGAGAGCAGAACATCTTCGAAGTCGAACGGGTTGATTCCACAAAGGCTAGAGCGACAAGAGGCAAGCAATTCTTTTCCTTTAAGTTGCTCCATTTTTGGGGGTGTTCGGATTGCGGAGCTTCTGGTGCTCTCAAACGACAGATGAGGACCGCAAAGCCGCCTCAAAACAAACCAGGAGACCCACTGAAGGCCCACACGACGACCCAGGAGAGCCCCAAGACTCCCTAGGAGCACCCAAATCTGATCGAGAGGACCCCACGCAGGCAAAGTGTTCCCCCGGAGGCCTCTCCTGGAACACCTCGCCGCCGACGACGGTGAGATCGAAGTTGGTGACTATGGTGGTGATTAGGGTGGTGATGGGTAAGACGACGGCGCTGACGACTTAAACGTTTAGCGTGGTGGTTTCCGTGATGATGGCGGTGATGACGATGATGGGAAAGTGAATGGAGGTAAGCATTTGGGTGACCGACGATGATTGTGATAATGACGACGCGCGATTTTGACGTCGCCGCATCACCAACCGCGGTGAACCGATGATTCCACCCATGAGGGCGGTGCTGATGAATGACGATGACGATGATGAGGATGAGGATGATTGTAATGATGGAGGTGAAGACGAATATAAAGACGACGATGAAGATGGATATGATGAGGATGGTAATGGTCATGATCATTATAAGGATGGTGACGATGACGATGATGATGACGATGATGATGATGATGATGATGATGATGATGCTGATGATGGTGATGGTGATTGTGATGGTGATGATGATGCTTGACCATTGCGATGCCCATGGTGATTGTGAGCATTTCTATCAGGATGATGTCCGGTAGTAATGAGATGACGAAGACCGGGGAGTATCAAGTCGACTCCACGAACGCAAGATGTTTCCAGAGGCCTCTCCGGGAGCGTCTCGCCGACGACGGCGATGACGGCGAAGTTGATGATCATGGTGGTGATGAGAGTGGTGATTGGTGAGACGACGGTTGTGGCGACGCAAACCGTTCGCGTAGTGTTTTTTCCATCGTGATGGCGTCGATGAGGATGTTGGGAATGAGATGGAGGATGATGATTCGGGTGCGGACGATTGATATGATAAAGGCAACGCGCGGCTTTGACGTCGCCGCATCACCAACAGCAGTAAATTTATGATGTTTAACTGTCCTGATGGCCATGGCAAACATGAGTATTGCAATCATGACGATGCCACATAATAATGAGGATGCGGAGGAGAGGAGAGGCGACGTTAATGATGCTAAGGGGTCATGATGGAAGCGACTATAGCTCGCGATTGTGCATACTCGCCGACACCGCTCGTGCGGCAAGCACCCGACCTGCGCTAGAACCTGAGTGCGCGCGATGATGAGGATGATGGATGAAACGATGGCTGCGACGACGTACGCGCTAAGCATGACGGGTCCCATTGTGATGATGGTTTGGATGATGATGATTTGGGAACGGGCATGATGATTCGATTGGGAGGACGATGTTGATGCGGATGCTTATTGTTAAGTCGGGCCTGCCCCCCTACAGGAGGAATATTCCAGAATAGCAAAAAGATAGTTTGGGGACGATTAGTTGTCGATGTTTGATTCCCTACCTAGGCTCTGCCTAGAAGGGTTCTTACCCTGTATGCTTAAAGGGCCGGGCAGTGCTCCCCGCCCCGGGCGGTTCCCCCAGGATCCGCCCCGCGGTTCCCCCAGGATCCCCCGCTTTGCCTAGCTTAGCTTAGCTTAGCTTAGCTAGGCTTAGCTTAGCTTAGCTTAGCTTGGCTTAGCTTAGCTTAGCTTCGCTTGACCTAGCCTAGCTTAGCTTAGCTTAGCTTAGCATAGCTTAGCTTACCTTAGCTTAGCGCAGCGCAGCATAGCGCAGCGCAGCATTAGCACAGTATAGCATAGCATAGCATAGCCAAGCATAGCATAGCATAGCATAGCTCAGCATAGCATCGCATAGCATAGTCCAGCAGAGCATAGCATATCATATCATAGCATTGCTTAGCATAGCACAGTGCAGCATAGCATAACATAGTACATCATATCATAGCATAGCACAGCACAGCATAGCATAGCGCAGCATAGCATAGCATAGCATAGTATAGTATAGCATAGCGCAGCATAGCATATCATAGCATAGCCTAGCATAGCATAGCATAGCGCAACATAACATAGCATTGCATAGCATATCATAGCGCAGCATAGCATAGCATAGCATAGCATAGCATAGTGAATCATAGCTTAGCTTACATTAGCTTAGCTTAGCGCAGCGCAGCATAGCACAGCGCAGCATTAACACAGCATAGCATAACATAGCATAGCCAAGCATATCATAGCATATCATAGCATAGCATAGCATGCAACGCAAACGCAACACCAATGCGAAAATGTAGATGTATATGCAGATGTAGGTGTAGGTGTAGATGTGGATGTCTGTGTACATGTAGATGTAGCTGTAGATGTAGATGTAGGTGTATATGTAGGTGTGGATGTAGATGTAGATGTGAGTCTCGCTGTTGATGTTGATGTATATGTAGATGCAGATGTAGATGTTAATGTAGCTGTCGGTGTATATGTAGATGTTGCTGTCATAGATGCTCCAACTCCTAGGTAGGGTCGCACTGTTATAATTGCGGTGGTTAGTTTTTAACTATTTTGTAGGTTTCGTCCAAAATCCGCCTGTAGGGGGGCATGCCCGACCTGAGCTTATTGGCGCTGATTACGATGCGCAAGTATGACGTGCAGCATCGCCAGCAACATCAGGACAAGGCTGTTACCAATGAACACGATGAGGAATACAACGATGAGTCTTGACATGACGACTGTGCCCATGCTGCTGAGAACAGACGAGGATGAGGAAGGCGCCAGGAATTATTATTGACCGCGGGGATGAATGCCACTATGGTACGCGCTTGTGCATGATTGATATGTCCACGCTCTTCTGGTGGGCCCCAAGGCCGCGCTAGAACCTTAGCGCCTCGAAACAACCCAGGAGCCCCACTGACGGCCCACACGACGGCCCTGGACAGCCCCAAGGCACCCCAGGAGCACCCAAAATTGATCAAGCGGACCCCACAAAGGCAATACGTTCCTTGCAGGCCTCTCCTGGAACATCTCGCCGACGACGACGATGAGAGCTAAGCTGATGATAGTGGTGGTGCTGAGGGTAGTGATTGGTGAGACGACGGCTGTGAGGACGTACGCGGTTAGCGTGGTGGTTTCCATGATGATGGCGGTGATGGCGAATCTGGGACAGCGAATGGAGATAACCATTTGGGTGGGGACGATACTTTTGATAATGACGACGCGCGACCCTGACGTCGTCGCATCACTCACAGCAGTGAACCGATACTGCCAGCCATGATGGCGGCGTTGATGATGATGATGGTTCTTGGCAGTTGTGATGGCTATGACGAACACGAGCATTACCATCCGAGTGATGCCGAGTAGTACAGAGGATGAGGAAGGCGGGGGAGTAGCAAGAAGAGGGCGTAATCTGAGAACGTAATCACATCAGGACGATGCAACTAATAATTTCGAGGGTAGGGAGGACGGGGGAGACGACGGTAATGGTGCTGATGGGTAATGATGAAAAGGATTGCGGCTCGTGTTTGTGCATATTCGAGCCGACACCGTTTTTGCAGTAAGCACCCGACCTGCGCTAGAGCCTGAGCAAGCGCGATGATGAGTGATGTTGATCAGACGGTGGTTGCGACGACGCACACGCTAAGCGTAGCGGATCCTAGCGTGCTGACGATGGTCTGGGTGATGACGATGAGATGAGTTGAGATGATATGATAACGGGGGTGATGATTCGAATGCGGACGATGTTGTTGTTGATGTTGGCGGTGATTACGATGCGCGAGTACGACGTGCAGCATGACCAGCGAAACCAGGACAAGGCTGCTACCAATGAGCACGGTGAATAATATGACCATGAGTCTTGGCATGACGACGTTGCTCATGATGAGAACAGACGAGGATGATGAAGACGGCAGGAATGAGAATGGCCATGAGGGTGAATGCGACTATGGCATGCGCTCGGGCATGATAGACCTGTCCAAGCGTTTCAAGTGGGCCCCCTGACTGCGCTAGAACCTGAGCACGCGGAGCGCGCGCGATGGTTCTACTTCCTGTACATGCATAGCGCGTATGTGACACAGTCTTCCATTTGAGTTATCAGGTCGTGTTATCTTGGCCACGCGGACATCGATTCCCCCCTCCCCGCCATCTCTTGCAATCAATCTTATGCGGTGCACATGCGTTGATCTAAGACATGTTGTTTTCTCCGAGAATTCGTCGCGCTTCTGCGGTGCGAGGCCACTTCCAAGGTACATCTATTCAATCATTTATCAACGGACAATTCGTTCCCAACAGTGAAGCACAACGTTAGTAGTGTGGTCTCGCACGCTCGCTGAAATTATGAGACAGTCAAAGGTCGTTAGCCATCGAGTCGAATCAGACCATGCGGGCCACTCGCGCGCGCATGTCGGACATGTTCTACCACCATCGTGCGCCCGCCAATGCTGTTGCTTCATACCATGCGGGCCACACGCGCGCGCCTCCGCGCGCACGTCCAAATCCTCCTATTAGCACGACTGGCATTATCGTTCTAACCGTTCGCATTGTCAGCATTATCCATACTATGTTTGGCTTAGGCTGGCTTGGTAACTATCTGGCTCACTCCAGTTTGGCTGAGCAGCATCGCCCAGATGATGCGCCCATCCGTCTGCCCGGGTCGTGCCAGCACTGTCCAGTTCTCGTGCCCCATCTATCGGTTGGCCTTCGGCCCATCGCCCCACCGTGTCTGAGTTTTGAACAAGAGGCCGATTGTATGCCTCTTGTGGTAGCCTCTAGAAGGCTTCTTTGAGGCCTGGGCTTCTTGGGGATTTCCTGAACGCCTCTTGGGAGCCTCGTGGGGGCCTCCCGGCGGCCTCCTGGGGACCTCTGCGGGGGGCGTGCTGCGCCCTCGGGGGCCATCTTGGGGTGGATGTCTCGAAGTACTTTCTGAAGGCCGAAACGGCGAGCACCCGCAAACCGTACAAAACACAAATCTCTGAGAATGATTTTGGGGCCTCGTGGGCTGGCCCCCGCGAGTGCTCCAGCACGGACCCCTGAGACCATCTTGGGGCGTGTGAGATCCCAGAGACGCCCAGGAGCGCCCAGAACTCCGAGGTCCGGTGTCTCGGAAGAGCATGTGCACCACCACTCCAGATCGAATTGCGGCAGACACCGCCACGTGCCAGCTCTGCATCGACATGCATGCCGCCCTGACGCGTCCATGCTGAGACGCAACACGTACCATGTTCAAAACGTTTGGGTGAAACACGTTGGGTGTTGACTCAACGTGTTGGCCCACGCCTTGGCGAACATACCGCACCCGACTTGTCAACACGCTCCGGATTGCGGGTCTCGAAGAACAGAAACAGCCTAAGCATAGACTTTTGGAGCTCCGCGCTGATTTCTTGGATCGGCGCTGGACCCTCTCCCTGGCGCGCGGAGCACGCCAGGGGCGGCGCCGGAGGCGCCTCCAGGCGGGCCCAGCGCCGATCCAAGAAATCCTCGCGGAGTTCCAGCAGTTTACGCTTATGTTGTCTTTTGCTCCGTGTAGTGTTGCGAATCGGGGCAGCTAAGTGGTCCAGGGGTTCCAGGGCAGATCCAACACATCCGCGCAGAACTCCGCGATGCCGTTTTTTCGCCTCGGAGATGGTCGCCCTCGAGCCAGTCTGCGACCTCTGATGGTTCTGCCGAGTTCTGCCGAGCAGTCTCGGGTACCACCTTGGGGCCGCCGGGAAATACCGCTGCGAGGTTGCATCGCGGCGTGGCCGCCGCGCTGCGGGGCCGTCGTGCTGCCCCTCCTGGGGGCTTCTCGGAGAGTCCTCTGGCCTCTTGGGGGGCTACTCTGCAGGATTGGAGGGCTTTGGAGGGCGTCCTGGGTGGGGAGGCTCCTTGGGGCCCTTGGGGTTCTTGAGGGCCTCTTGGGAGGGGATCACCTGGGGTCTTTTCGCCGTCCTCGGCGCGACGGTTCTCCTGGGGTGGCCGTCGGGTCCTGTCTTGAGGCTGTCCTGGAGCTCGCTTGGGGCAGCATTGGGCCATCTCGGGCGTTCTCGGGCTGTCTTGGGGCTCTCTCTGGGCAGTCTACGGCCGCATCGGGGGCTTCTTTGGGCCATGTGTAGCATTCTCCGAATTTCACACAGTGTCAAGTTTTCTTTGAGGCCATCTTTGGCCGAATACTCTGGGAAGCAAATTGCACCGAAATGCTGCAATTGGGATCTTGTTTGTCCGCGGCCTCGGAGCCTAACTGGAGGATTCCTTTGGCGCATTTTGGGAGCTGATTCGGCCTGGCAGGGCCTCTTCGTGGCATCTCGGTGTGTCTTTGGGCCGTCTTGGGCCAGTCTTTAGGCATGTTGCAGCGTTGGCGGGCCGTTCTTGGGCCGTCTGGGAGGTGGCGTGGGGCTGCCAAAAGCGCGTATGGGAGTAAAGCGGAGCAGGGCTGTTTTCAAGGTGGTAACCCGGATGGGAGGGCGTCCTTGGCAAGTTAGAGAAATTGTGCAAGACATTTGCCATGCATCGTTGAAGAAAAAACATTCAACATAAGCATTCGGAGCTCCACATGGATTTGTTTGATCTGCGCTGGGCCGCCCTGGCGACGCCTCTGGCGCCGCCACTGGCGCGCTCCGCGCTCCAGCGAGGGGGGTCAGCACAGGCTCTCGCACGCCCCAAGCTGTGAGCGCACGGTGGCGGATTTCGTTGAGGAGGACGAGGGTAAAGTGGTCATTGACATCATGCGGATAGGGGTGCTCTCTGGTAGCGCTCAGGTGAACGTCTACACGGAGGATGGCTGCGGGAAGGCAGGTGAACGGTACAATGCTTTATCCCAGGTCGTTTCTTTTGAGCCTTGGGAGTACGCAAAGACAGTGGATATTGAAATTGTCCAAAGCGACGCTTGGGCACCGACCCTGGAATTCAAGGTGAAGCTTGACAATCCCAAAGGTTGTGAACTGAGCAAAGATCTCAATGTATGCCGGGTCAAGGTCATCGACAACGACGTTTTCCCTTCGGGCAAGTACGAGACAGAAATACGATCTGGCGAGGGAGACATCCGTAACATCAGCGGGGTTGGACTGTTTGTCGAATTCTGCAAGCTTGTCTTCATGAGCAACAAAGACATGTGTTGGAGGACACTCCTCACCATCGTTCTAGATCAAATGAAGAATTGTTACATGTACTTCCTTCTCGTAGCGAAGGCTTATCTGGTCAACGTGGTTTTCAATCTTAAGAGCCATCAGCTGCGCGATCCACACAGGATTGGCCTGGCGCGCGCGATTGGCGTGTTCTACATGGCCCCGATGGTGGCCCTGCATATCTGGGACTTTACGAAGATCGGCATGGACAGCCGGGGGCGCGTTCGCCTCTGGATCCGGGAGAGTCTCTTCCGAAAGTATCTTAATTATCCAGTTGCCTGCGGCAAGTCACGCCACCGTGTCAGCCCAGCATTTGAGGTGGGGGCACACTTCGCGTGACACCTCGTGTCCCAAGGTTTGAGAGAGCCGTCACATGTGACTCTGGTCTTCCGCGTCGTGTTAGGGTGTTCTTCTCGTCTTCGTCGTCTGGATCTTTTTAGGTTCCTGTGGGGCATTCTTTGGGGCCCCTTGGGCCACGTTGGGCCGTCTTGTGGTCTTCTTGGGCCGTCGTAGGGCTCTCGTAGGCCGTGTTAGAGGCCTTCTTGGCCGTCGCGGGGTTCTATTGCGGCCGTCGTGGGTGCCGTGTTCGGACCGTCTTGAGCCGTCAATGGGCTCTCTTAGGCCGTCTTAGGCCAGTTTGGGATTCATTCGGGGCAGTCCTGGACGTCTATGGGCCCTCTCGAGTTGTTTTGAGGCCGTCGTGGGGGATTTCAGGCGATTTCTTGGTTTGCTTTGGGGCCATATTGAAGGCCTCCAGGGCCGCCTGTAGAGCGTGGACCTCAAACAGAAGGTTGTTGCACTGTGGATATGCGAGCTATGTGGTGCAACCATGTGGTGTAAGCCATGTGGTGCGAGCTATGTGGTGCGTGCTGTATGGTGCAAGCTATGAGGTACAATCTAGGTGCAGCAATATACGTGGCGCAATCTGTTTGGTGCAAACCATATTATGCAAGCTATGTGGCGTAAGCCATGTGGTGTAAACAGTGCGGAGCAAGCTATTGCTGCAAGTTGTGTGGAAGCTACTTTGTACAATCCAGGAGATGCCATCTACGTGGTGCAAGCTATGTTGTGTAAGCTATTCAGTGCAAGCTATGTGGTCCAAGCTATGTGGTGCGCGCTATCGGGGCGCCCATGAGGCGGGCATCATGAGAAACCTTGGCGGCACTCCCCAGCGCGAGGCGTCCACGAGGCGCCCACGGCGAAACCTCGGCATACTCCCCCAGCAAGGGGCGCGCCGATTGGCAGGCACCAGGCGGAATTTCGGCATAACCCCGCAGCGCGGGGCGCCCACGAGGCGCCCACGGGCGGGCCCTCTTGGGCCGTCTCGAGGCCATCTTGAGCTGTCGTGCGGCCATCTGAGACCATCTTGGCAGCCTTGACGGCCTGCGTGAGCCGCCTCGGCAGCCATCTTGCGCATGCTGGTAGCCTTGGAGAGCACCAGGAAGGCGTCGGAACGCCCAGGGATCCTCAGAAGGGGGGGGGGATACACGCAGCGAAGTGTGACCAGGGGGGGCTTCATAATATCGTGGATACCCTGCACGACGCGGAATTCTATCACGCCTCAGCGTGCCAAGGGGCACGGTGGCCGATAGCGCGGCGTCGAGGGCTCAGGTGCCCCCTGCCAGGATGCAGACCGCCATCACCGAGGACGCAGGAGCTTTGGCTGACGGCTACGTCGCTGTTCTGGACATTGTAGCCATGCTTGGCAAATTGGTGTTCACAATTATTTTCATGCTTCATTCGGATCCTGGCTCGCTTTGGGTTTTGATTACGATGCCGTGCACCATGTTGGTGTTTGCGATCCTGCGGCAGTGTATCAGGTGCCCTTGCGGCAAAACAGAGCCAGGCGATCCAGAGAATGATTTGCGGAAGTTTGTTGCCGAGAGTTGCCGAAATTATAGTTTGATAGCTGAGTATTCGCAAAGACCAAGGGTCAATGATCAGTTTGCCAAACTAGCGCGGGTGAGTCGGGTGAGCGAGATCCCGAACAGTCAAAGAGAGTTGAACAACATGTATGTGTCTAAATGGCTCGGGCCAATTTTCATTGGTATCGAAAATGCCTACGGCTATTGAACTAAGCTGTTGAACTGTGTGCTCTCCAATCCTTTGTGGAAGCCTTTGGGGAACCACCTTGGGCGAGAAGGAGGGAGAGCAGCAGAAGAGGGAATCGAATCAAGGCGACAAAGAGAGGAGGAGGAGGAGGAGGAGCAGGACGAGGCAACTTCGGATCCTCTTGGGGCCTCTGGGGAGCCTCCTGGGGGCCTCGTGGGGCTTTTTGGGTCGTCTCTGGTGGCGTCTTCGGTTGGGTACAGTTTGGGCCTTCTTGGGGCGCTCTTGGCCGGTCTGGCGCTTTCGGAGGCCGCCTTGGGTGCTTCACTGGGCCGTTTTGAGGTCCTCGCGGGGCGCATTCGGGACGTCTCGGAGGTCTCTTGGCCCGTCTTGGGGCCGTCTCTGAGGCCTTTTGACCCGTCTTGGGGCCCTCTTGGCCTGTCTGAGGGCCTCTTGAGGGTCTCTTGGGGCCGTCTTGGATACCTCTGGACTCGTCTTGGGCAGTCGGAGGCCCGAAATGGCAAGAACGCTGAATTCACCAAGCCACTGAGACACACAATTGGGTTCACTCAGTTTTGATCTCATAGGCCTCCTGGAGGTCCTCTTTGAGGTCCTCTTGGGGCGTCTTGGGGGCTTCTTGGGCCGTCTGGTGATCATCTTGGGCCGTCTTGAGTCCATCGTGGGCCGTCTTGGATGCATCTTCTGCGAACTTCGAGACCTCTTTGACCCCCTTGGGTCATCTTGGACGCCATCTTGGACCGCCCTGTATCGTCTTGGAGGCCATCCTGGGCCATCTTGGCAATCCTGGGGTCCTGTTAGGCCATATTGGTGCGCTCTTGGAAGCCTCTTGGGGGCCTCTTGGGCTTGAACCCTCTTGGGAGCCTTTTGGGCCGTCTTGAGCCGTTGGAAGCCATTCGAACCGAGAGCGTTTACATATATCAAACATTTGCAGCGAGTCAGCATGTTTGGCACCCCTGAGCGCCTGGAGGGGCTCGTGGGCCGTCGCCTCTTGGGCCGTCTTGAGGCCGTCTTGGGCCGTCATGAGGCCATGCTGGGCTGTCTTGGAGGCACCTTGGGCGAACTCGGAGGCCTCTTGAATTTTCTCTGGCCACCTTGGACCGCCTTTGGCCGTCTTGGGAACCGTCTTAAGCAACCATGGGCCATCTCGGGGTCCTCTTGGCCCGTCTTGGGTCTGGGTCCTCTTCAGACAGGGGCGAGTTCATACTTGGATGTTCTGTGCGTTTTGTTGTGGGAACGCGTTGTTGACCCGTGCGGTGGCGATGGTCGCCATCGAGCAGACCCCCGTTGTATAAATCTAAGGCTCCGCGCGTGTCTGGCGGGCGGGGAGCCGCAGGTCCTGAGCGGGGCGGTGGGCTTCCTACCTTTACCCTTGGTAGTATGAATTGTGCCCGGGGCATGGGCTGGGTCTGGCCGCGCCATCGCAGAGCATCCTTGGAAGTCGGCGCTGCCGCTAGCCCCCCATGGATGTTGTCACAGACGGCCATGCAAAGTTTCAGCTCACGTGTCTACTTGGGAAAGCCTAAGACGCAACGGACATGTGATGAATGTCGGCGCCTGATGTGGGATGAAAGCTTGCGTCGCAAGGAAAATTACACGACATTCGGCGCCAGATGTGCTGCTGTCTATCGGAGTCAGTACTCATGCGTCTGGTCACTTGACGGTTTTGGCCACCCGCGCCATGGAGTTACAGGAGGGACCATTGCACAGGAGCTAACCTACCGATGCTTCCACAGTGCTCTGACTACAGGCCTATGGAGACCACGTGCCACGCAATGCAACACACTGGTAGAAAAAGACAGCGAGGAGGATGAGGAGGAGGAAGGAGGGAGGAAGGATGAGAGGGGGAGAGGACACGAACAAAGGGACATGTAATCATAGAAGTTTGTAGACTTGGTAAGTCCACTGCTGTCTTGGCCGCCCATGCGCCTTTCAGCCGCCCATTTTTGGGACGTTCCGTCGACGTTGCACTAAAGATGTGTTGTCTTGAACGCAAATATTTCTGTGCAGCTTGCTTTTGCCAGCTTCTCAGAATGGATGACAGGGAATCAGAGCTGGCTTTTCCTGAGACAGCGTCCGAGATCTCTGGGAACCCGGGGGTGGGGCGGGGGGCCACCCCCCCTTGCCCGGGAACCTGGACACTCGGGGTGCGGGGGGGCCCTTTTTGCCCGGAAACCGGGGGGGGCGGGTGATTGAGCCGTCAGGGGGAGCATTTTGGAGGCCTCCTGGGCGCTCTTGGGGCCATCTTGGTGGACTCTTGAGCCGTCTTGGGCCGTCGGAGTGCCGGAAAGGAGCAACATTCCGAAATTGAAAATCACGGATTTCGACCTCTTCGGGCTTCCTGGTAATCCTCTTGGAGGCCTCTAGTGTCGTCTTGGAGGGCTCTTGGGAGCCTCTTTGGCCGACTTGGGGCATATTTGGGCCATCTTGGGCTCTCTTGGGTGCATCTTCGACTCGTCTTGGAGACATCTTCTCGGGCTCTACTGGGGTCATCTTAGCCGTCTTGGAGGCATCTTGGAGGCCACCTTCGGTGATTTTGGCCGTCTTGGAAGCGAGTTTTCCGGTTTTCCTGGCATTCCGGGTCCTTCGCCGGGTGGCCGGCGAGTGGGCCGAAACCCCATTGGGAACTTTCAAAAAAGCAAAGCAATCATGCGTCTGGCACGCCGTGCACCCTCGTGGCAAGCCACAAGGAGCGGCGGATGACGGAAAGCGCGCTTAGCGTACAACCCGCTAGTGGGAAGGAATGGAACTAGGGGGAGCTTGAGGGGGTTGTTGGATGTGTGTGGGGGCGAGAAGGGATGACGGATCGCTGGCTGGAAGACACGAAATTATGGAGAGTTTGAGGGCGTTGGCAGCTTGCACCCCAGGGATCTAGTAGCCAAACTAGCGATTTCGCCCAGGGACATCGTCAATAACTAAGGTGTTCTGGGATCGCTCTTGGAAGGTCTCAGGGCGGCTCAACATAGTCCAACAAGATGGCTCTAACACGCCCTACGTCCGCCCAGCCTGGCGATTTCGCTAGACACAACCTCACAGCAATGAGATGCTGTCGACATCTCTCTTGCCCACAACGGCGATTTCGCCAGGGAGATCCTCACAAACTTGGCCTTGGTCTTGCTCGAAATTGCAATTTCGGCAGGGACATTTTCAATCCATAGCATGTTGTCGACACCGTCTTGGTATCGCTCGCCGCTGCCGCTGACGCCGAGCGCAATTGGACCGTCCAAACAGGGAACCCGCGACATTTGGACAGCGAGCGGTCCAAACTGGGTAAACACAGTGTTCTTGAAAGTGGGCGATCTGAGCGAGGAACGCGACATTGGGACAGCGCGCGATCCAAACGGGGCGAATGCATGATCTGAAGAGCGGGCGATCCAAGCGGTGAGAACACATGGTTTCTGCACCCTCCCTGTGGCAGCTCTGAGCACAGATGGACGGTACAAGTTGGGAAAACACGACATTCGGGCAGCGGACAGTCCAAAGGGGGAAACACGTGGTTCTGGAAAGCGGGTTGCCCAAACGGGGGGAACACGAAATTCGGACAGCGATCGGCCCAACCGTTCCAAGAGCGCCTTGAGACTGCCGAAATTAGCGGTTCCTCTGGGGACCCCGTGTAATACATTATTCGGCGCGGAGATCCGCAGTTATGTATCTCATGTTCTTGTCACGTCTGATTGAGGAACTCTGTCTATGAGCACTTGGGTGTGAGAGCGAGTCTGCGTAGACGACAGGCGCGGCAACGACGACGACGACAGCGACGACTTCAGTGACATCCTCCTCTTCCGGACATTTTCCAGGAGAGACGAATCACAATTGGAAAAGCAAGGGGGGCATCTTCTTGCTTTTCTCCTCGCGGCAGCTCAAACAATCGCGCATGGCGTTGCTACGCCCGCTATTTGGCGTGCTACTCGCGGCGCCTGCTGGCACTTGGGGTGCCGAAGTGTCAAGTCGGCTATATCGCCGTCGCCCTGTGTGTGTGTGTGTGTGGGCCGTCGTGCGGTTGAGTATGAGCTTGGGTGAATTGAGTGTGAGTTGGTCGGAGGTTGAGTGGATCTCGGATCTAGTAAGTGTGAGTACGGATGGGTCTGGGTAGGGGGTGGGCCACAGTGCGAAATAATATAAGTGCGAGTGGGTCTGGGCGTGAGTGAGTCTGATTGTGGATGAGCCTGAATTTAGGCGCGAGGATTTCCAATCAGAATATGGGTGAACCTGGGTGCGAGGTAGTCTGAGTATGAATGAGCCTGCGCGCGAGTAGTTCGGAATTTTTTACGCTTCGCGTATCCCCACCAGCCCATCTCACAACAGCAACTCTTGCGAAGCATGCCGGCAGTCGTGTTTTTCAGGCGTGTGTCCGCTTGGCCCCGCATGTCTCCCCTGTTCTTCCTTCCTCCCGCCTCCTTGTACATCCTCCTTGTGGGGGCAGCGGGAAAAGGACGAGGCGGAGGAGGAGGGAGAGAAAGCGGTGGGAGGCAAGAGGGACTTAGTGGAGACGACGACCTCAGCGATGATCTGAACAACGACGACGCACCCGACAACGACGACGATGTCGACCGCAACGATGACGACGACCGCAACCGCGACGACGACGACGACGACGACGTCGACGACGACGACGACGAAGGCGGCGGCGACGACGACGACGACGACGACGATGACGTCGACGACGACGACGACGACGACGACTGGTGGGCGTCGTTGGGGGCCCTCGTTGTGTGAGCTCTTCGGCCCCGTCGTCCTTGTGTGAGTCCTTCGGGACCCTATTCCTGGTGTGAGTCGTTCGGTCTCCTCGTTGTGTGAGTCGTTCGGGCCCCTCCTCCTGGTGTGAGTCGTTGGGCTCCTCGTGTTGTGAGTCGTTCGGGCTCCTCGTGGTGTGAGTCGTTCGGGCGCCTCGTCCTGGTGTGAGTCGTTCGGGCCCCTCGTCCTGGTGTGAGTCGTTCGGGCTCTTCGTGGTGTGAGTCGTTCGGGCCCCTCGTCCTGGGGTGAGTCGGTCGGGCTTCTCGTGGTGTGAGGCGTTCGGGCACCTCGTCCGCGTGCGAGTCGTTCGGGCCCCTCGTAGTAGGAGTCGTAGTAGTAGTAGTAGTAGTAGTAGTAGTAGTAGTAGTAGTAGTAGTAGTAGTAGTAGTAGTAGTAGTAGTAGTAGTAGTAGTAGTAGTAGTAGTAGTAGTAGTAGTAGTAGTAGTAGTAGTAGTAGTAGTAGTAGTAGTAGTAGTAGTAGTAGTAGTAGTAGTAGTAGTAGTAGTAGTAGTAGTAGTAGTAGTAGTAGTAGTAGTAGTAGTAGTAGTAGTAGTAGTAGTAGTAGTAGTAGTAGTAGTAGTAGTTGTAGTAGTAGTAGTAATAGTAGTAGTAGTAGTAGTAGTAGTAGTAGTAGTAGTAGCAGTAGCACTGAGACTAGCAGTAGCAGTGGCAGTAGAAGTAGCCGTCGTAGTAGAATTCGTAGTGCTCGTAGTAGTACTAGCACGAGTAGCAGTCGTAGCAGTAGTAGTAGTACTAGTAGTAGCAGCAGTAGTAGTAGTAGTCGTAGAAGTAGTAGTAATAGTAGTAGTAGTAGTACGAGTAGTAGTAGTAGTAGTTGTAGTAGTTGTAGTAGTAGTAGTAGTAGTAGTAGTAGTAGTAGTAGTAGTAGTAGTAGTAGTAGTAGTAGTAGTAGTATCTCCGAACAGCAATCCCAGCGAAGCATGCCGACAGTCGTTTGGTGCAGGCGTGTGTCTTCCTGCCTTCGCATATATCCCCTGCTCCTGTTTCCTTCTCCCTCCTTGTACAGCCTCCTTGTGGGGGAGCCGAAGGAGGACGAGTCGGAGGAGGAGGAGGGAGTGAAGGAGTTGGGAGGCAAGACAGAGGGCGTTCGTCGTCGAGTCCAGCGATCCCTCCCGACCAGCGTCGTCGTTGTTGCCATTCTGGCTCACAGTATTTCAGTGTGGCTGTGAGCTTCGCTCCGCTTGCCAGCAATCGTTTCCGCCTGCCAGCAACATTCCTGCGGCTGGCATGGAGAAGCGCCCGTGCGCTCTTGTACCCTTGCTCGCCACGGGGGCTCCTTGGAGCGAGCGTGGAGAATGTCGGTCGTCGGCATTCTCGCACCACCTTTAGCTTCGACGGTGCGGTCGGCGCGCTGCACTTCGGTCCGCATGGCCTGGAACGTGATGGCGAGGCTTACACCGCGAGGGCAGTGAGCGTAGCTCAGCCCACCACGACGACGACGACGACGACAGGACGACGACGACGTCGAGACAACGACGACGACGACGACGACCACGACGTCAATGGTGACTTTGACGGCGAGCGGAACGCACGCGCCCATCGTGCTTTTGGCACGATGTGGCTGCGTTGCGCAAGTAGTGCACATCGCCCATCACGGCTACGGGCTCGCCACTTTTGGTTGTGATGCATGTCACACCTTCCTCCATTGGCCCCGCTTTCGTGGCAGCAGGTCG